CCTCTCCTCTCCTCTCCTCTCCTCTCCTCTCCTCTCCTCTCCTCTCTCCCCAAATTTGCACATCCTACTACCTTCTCTTAAACCCCAAATGAATAAAAAGAAGCCAAATAAAGAAGTTGTTTAAAGTATATTTGGAGAAATACAGGCAGAGTACGTGCAGGGTATTAGGTGTAAGCAAGGAGAGGCAAGGACAGAGCTGATTAGGCTTTAGAGTTTCTTCACTTACCCATACTGGGGATAGAAATGTGCAAAGACAGAGTTGTCCTTCAATTTGCCTTTAATCTAGTCAATCAGATAGGCCAAAACATAATTTAATATGCATATTTTTATACACTCTTTTTCAGATTCTAAAAAGAAATCTGAAAATTTTGTGATTAAGCCAACCTGAGCCTGCTGCTTTTTTTTTCTTTCCTCTCCCCCTTCATTGCTATTTTTTACAATTTTACACAATATAAAAAATTTATAGATTTTAACATTTGCATGGAGTCTATAAAAACCTCTTGCTACATTATCATATTGGTAAACTTTATTATTTTTTATTATGGCTTTCTTCTCTCTCATGGATGAACTAGCTGATATTTTATTTTGAATTGTAATTTATTATACAGTTAGTATCACAGGGGTATTTTTAATGAAACTATAGCTGTAGAATACTGAAAAAATATAGTATTAAGGAAGAGCTATATTCAATAACATGAATGTTAACACTAACAGTAGAGAAGGAAAGGCATTTTAATTATAGTTATCCTTATCTTCTTTTATGGTGAAAGTAGAAAGTGTGACCCAAAAGGAAATAAATTAGGGGTTACTTTCTATTGATTTATGGGTGTGCCATTCTTTAGTGCCCATTATTCTATAAGCAAGATTAATTGCGTTAGTTCCAGATTTTTGCACTGTTAGTCATATGAGAAGACCAACAAGTTCCACCTCATGAGCTCTGAGACAGATCTATTAACATTATAGTATTTTTATGACTCCAATTTCTGTGCACTGAAAGATAGAAAACTGTAATGACTGACAAAATTAAAATAGAAATAACTTAGAGTGGTTTTACATGGAGAAGGGAAGCAGAAGTTGCTCAGTTTAAAAACCCACATGTAAGATAATCAGTCTTGAGGAAATTGGTCTTCAAACAACCTACTTCACAGGCACACACACGTATCTTGACTTAATGAACTTTTCCCCTCACAATTATGCACAGAACTGCTGCACTGTATAGCCAGATTTGTGAAAGAAAAAATCTTGTCTGATTTGCTCTTTTAAACCTGGCTTAGGATTAGCCCTGTAAACAAACCTACAGCTGAACAAGGTGCTGTGTGTAGTACAAACCTTGTAACCTTGCAGGAAGAGATCCTGACCACCACCTCCTGCAGGAACACAGGACAAGAGGACAGAGAAATGTGGAAACATGAAACCTAGCTGGAGCCTGTCTCACACTGGCACCCCTCTTTTAGCTCTTGGCAAGAGACAGAGGATTTACCTCCTTTATCCCCCTTTTAAGCCCTGTTTCCTTAACAAACTGAGAATCAAGAAGCCTAACATGACAAAGGACATCTCAGTGGGACCTAGTGATGAGTCTGGCAGGGCATTCGATGCCCCACCAAGGTGAGAGAGGTCCAAGCAGAGTTCCTACAAGAGCAGTGCAGAACAGCAAGTGTCCCCACTGAATGAAGTGGGGGCTCAGCAGTGGTCAGGGAGAATGAAACCATGTTGGTGCTGACAATGAAAATATTCAAATTGGTCAGGGAGAAATCCAGGGAAACCTTCATTCCCAGGTGTCTCAGTTTCTCTCCCATCAAACCTTTCTATCCACGTGTCTGGATTCAGTCAGCATGGAGTGCCCAGGGAGCAGGAAGGACTGTTTGGTCACTCAGGAACAGGGAGCCAGGAGCTGTGTGCCATGAAGTGAGCATCCCACAGCGTCCAGGCACGGTGAGCAGGGCAGACCTGGAGATGTGTGAGTTACAGATCA